GAGGCTGTATTAGTTTGATAGAATTCTTGTTAGTTTCGAATTTGAATATATTTTGATTTTAAAATTTGAAAGATAAATAAATATTGTTATTTTAATTTAATTATAAATTTTTTTAATGTGCTAAATATGTTTTAGAATGGAATTTTAATTGTTTATATAATTTTGACACGTTTAATTTAAATATTAGTATAAAATTTAAATAATTACTACTCCCTCAGTTAAAGTTAGCTAATGAGAGATTGAAAATATTAGAACCCCTGTAATCAGCCATATTTGAAGGATGAGAAGGAATGTGAAAAAAATTGAAAGTAGTGAAAGTCAGAGATAGAATTGTAGAAACGCATGAAGACAATGCAATGTCAGCTTTAACCATTGACATTGCCTCATAAAGTGAGATTTCCTGTTTATAAATTCTTTCTTAACTTATTACGCCCCTACAATATCTCTTCACTCTTCAGTCCGCTACAAAATTTTATTTTTCTTAATAAATTTCTTCTTTTCAAAAATTTTTATTTTAAACTTTCTTCAAAATGCTTTTCTAATATTAACTTTTATCAATGAATTCAATATTTATCCTAAAACTTATTAATTAATAATTATTAAATAGGTTGCACTGAATTAGATTTTTAGGTCAAAATGAATTAATAGTTACCTTTTATTTAATCATTATTATCTAAACCAAAATCTAAGTTTAACATTATTTTGTTTTTAGTTCAATAAAAATAGCTTTTACTTTTCTTAGTTTTGCTTTAGTTCACTTAATATAATCAAACATATATTTGATTTTTAATAGTTGTAACATGTGTTTATTAAAAAAACACTAATATGCAACTGACTTTGAAAAAATTAATAAAAGATTTAGATTTACAAAGTAATAAATAAAGAGTAAAAAGATTATAATTATATATTATCATATTATTATTTTTTAATAAACAAATTACTAAAAGACAATTAGGTGTTTAACTGCCTTAAACATTATTGTAGTTTAATCCAAACTAATATAATTGAAAATTTTGACTATAGGTTCCTTTTCTTATTGTACCAAAAACAAAAATATTTTAATACTTATTTTAATGAAAAAACTATTATTCTTTATTATATTTTCACACTTTACTTGCAATATTTTAAGCACTTGTTTGGGATAATGAATTTGGGAAATTGAATTTAAAAAAAATAGAGGTGAGACTGAAATTGTTTTAATTGAGAGAAAAATGATGAGAAACGAAGAAATATGATATTAAAGTTTATAAAAAAGAATAAATGATGTAATTTATTGATAAATTAAAATTCATTATAAATTTTTAATGCATAAAAATATTATATTTTAATACATAAATATTATGTTATTTAATTAATATTTATTTTTTTACAAAATCTTAGTTGTATAGTAAGGAAAGTGAAAATGCGAGTTTTACCTTGATTATTATGTAAATTTCCATTGATTTATACGTGTTTTTTGTGCACAGTAAATTTTCGCATTTTTATGCTTAAACTAAGTTATTTATTTCCTTACGTTAGTGACATTGAACCTTAGTGACGTGGTAAAGTAATTTAAATTTACTATCATATACAATTTGTCACTATAGATGTCTCTTTTTCATCATTTTTCTCATTTATATAAAATTTGAATTTTATAATAATAAAATGAATTATGTGTTCAATGTAACCTTTTAGATATAAGAGGTCACATCCCATATTTCCTTTTGGCTTGCATTTAATTACAAGTTATCTTTTTATTTTTAATCTCTTCTTTATTCTTGACATTCTTAGTGCAACAACATTACATTTGAGATAGTCGGTGAAAATTGTAATGGAGGATGAATGAGAAGGAAAAATATCGATTGATCTATGGTGCAGAGTCTAGGAAATGAGAATGAGTCTCATTGGTCATGTTAAGTTGAAGAAAAACAAATGTCTCAATTTACATGCAAAACGTGGCTTATGTTGTTGCTAATTATTTCCATGAGAGTTTTATTTTCTACTCCTTCAAAATTACTTTTTTCTAGTGAGTCGAAGTAGTCTTTGTTGCAAGTGTAAATGAATAGATCTTGTAGGAAAACTACAACCTCTTTAAAAAGAGACACCACACTTTTGTTGAAAATTAGAAAGCATATACGATGAGAAAAGAAAAGAGAAATGACTTTAAAGCAAGGAAAAAAGAAGATAATACACTAAAGTTAATGATAATCCCATGAATAAATTATCATGTTTATCTAAGAATATGTTGACACATATCCTCTTTTTTTTTACTTTACATGTTTCACTTTGATATTTTTAGAATAAAAGAAATAATTACAAAGAAAAATCATCATTCACCAAATGATAAGAGCTTAAAAACACAAGTTGTTAGCGCAAATTCAAACACTTTCAAATGTTTATAAAATTCTTTATGAACTATTTGAAAACCATCAAACAACCCTTATGAACATTTATGACCTCTCGAGTTAGGAATAATCACACGAGTAAGTATATTGATTCAATTGTAGTACCAAGTATTGTATTCACAAATATTTGATTAACTTTTATCAAAACTTGTGATATTATTTGCATTTGTAATTAAAACGATTTGATTGTAAAATATGATGATCAAAAACTTCAAAGTAAAAGGGATAACTCAATAAAATAAAGTGTGTTGGGATTATATCAAGCAACTTTGTTCTTATGTGTAATTATTGTTTCATTGAATTAACAAGCTTCACTCATTATTCATCGAAATACTCTAATGTAATCTTAGACTCATGTCCATAGCCTAAAACCTAAAGACATTCGATCTTGTAAGCTCTTACTTCATTAAGTAAGCTAAACAACTTGTCTTTTCTAGCTTTTCTCTCTAGTTCTAAGTTTTGTTTCATTAGAAGAATTTGTTTTTTACTATACAACTTTTTCTCATTTTACATGTTTATAGTTCAACCCATTCAATATCCACCAAATTCACTCAAATTCTCAATGCACTTTCTTTGTTAACACTTATAAAAATAATAAATGTTGTAGTTGTCATCAAATTTATTATATGTAATTGTTTACTTTTTTCTATAATTACTTAACATTTTTGTAATTGTTATTTGCAACATATTGTAAGATTTATGCAATTATGATTTGTTGCTTGAATTTTGATATTGAATCCTTAATAGTATCATGTTTTATTTGTTGTGATTTTTTTGTAAGAAAATTATTTAATTACTATTTGAGATAGTAGGATAAAGAATATAAACAAAGATACAAAGACACGAATTTCATATTCTATAAGAGTGAGGATAAGGATTACTTCTTACTTTAAGAACAAAAATGCATATACTCAAACCTACACTTGTCTGACTCCATTGTTTTCACTAAATGTAAGTTAAATTAAATGAACCACTATAAAACAACTATTCATTTCACTTTCTATTGTTGGCATATATTACTTATCCAATCTATTCTTGCATAAGTTTTACTAAGATGTTTTAGAAAACTTTTTGAGCTAGTACACATTAGTGGGTAGACAATTTACCTATATTTGTTTTCAAATTAAGTGTGCAAATATTTTTGAAAATTCTTCTACAGTTAATATTTTATTTCATAGATATTTGGACAATTTAGCCAAGAGAGATTCATCTAATCTTAAATTATTCATATACAATATAGACATTTGATTTGATGTTATATAATGGACTCTTACCTTTATATGATAGAAAAATATTGGAATATATGTGGTATAGTATCACTAGAGGATTCTTCTATAGATTGTTCGAAGACTATTATAATCCATTTGTCACAAATCTTATGAAATGTGACAAATCTTATGAAAGGTGACTTCAAATAACTATAGTGATCTTTAGACCTTTTCAAATCTTTTCATATAATTAATGACTCATTTTATAAGAATGAATTCCTTTAATTACATAATACATTCTTATAAAATTTTATTCTTTGAAAGGATTTCATTTTAAGTAGTTGATGGCTATAAATAGAGCATCTACATTGTTAGAGGGAGAATAAATATCTAAGAAATAATTTTGTTGTCTATAAATGATAAAATAACTATGAAAAGAACTTGAATAATTTAATCATCCTATATTAGTAAGTTCTAGTTTATTGGAAATAGTTATATCTTATATTTGACATTTATAATTAATTTTTTATTAAAAAAATCATACTCTCATCATGAAATATAATTACTAAGATCTTGAAAAAATATTTTCATAATTAAAATAACTTATATTTAGTAAAACAAATCAAATGGTAAGAAGTAATAATTTTTTTTAAAAGAAAAATGATTGATTTGAACACTCCAAAACGAAGATCCGTATTAGATTAAATATGATTTTGGTCTATAAACTTTGATATAAAATTAGAACTAGTTTATATGAGAAAGTTTAATACATTTTTATCTTCAAATTTTAAAAGCAAATATATATATATATATATATATATATATATATATATTTCTTTAAATCTAATGACGTTGATTTTTCTTGTTTTGTTGAATTCAAATGTATCAAAATGGTGTAAACAATTCAAACATCATCCTAAAATACATTTAACACATTAAAAAATCAACACAATTTAATTAAAAAAGAATCCCATATTAATTCATGTTTAAAGTTTGTAGACCAAAATATGAAAGATTAAGATAAAAATAAATTTTAATTTTTAATTTTACCTACAAAAACTAAAAATATATTTAAAATATTCAAATTAAATAGAAAAACTCATCCACGGTACAACCTTAATGTTAAATGTGTGAATTCAAATAAAATATTAATTTTATTTTGCACGGTTAAGTGATGATATAAATTGTTATAGAATTAAAATGTCGATTTTAATATTTATTTTAGAAAACAAATTTAAAACTATTAAAGGCTATATATTAGTTGGCAATTTCTTACGTTATTATTAATCATTTAAGCGGTAATATAAATTGTTATATAGTTAAATGCCAATTTAATTATTTATTTTAAAAACAAAATTCAAAATTATTTAAAAATTGAAGGCTATATATTAGTTGGCAATTTCCTACGTTGTTATTGTTCGCATTATCTTTTATCCAATCCAAGGTGGACCCCACAGAGAGCCCTGCAAGTTCTCCATCCCACGCCCAAATCCAACAATGAACCTCGATGGCCTACTCTCTCCCACCACCACCGCCACCACCGCCCTCTCTCCCTCTCCACAACCACTTCACACGGCGCTCCCTCCTCCTCCTCTCCACCACAACCACCACGACGACCACCCTTTCCCTCACCTCCACGCCTCCTCCCACCCCGACCGTCACCGATCGCGTCTTCATGGATTTCAGCCTCTGCCCCAACAACTTCCTCCCCGACCGCGCCAACACCCTCTCCCCCATCTGCTCCGATTCCACGCTATTGGGCCGCGTTGTCTTGGGCCTCTTCGGTAATCTCGTTCCCCTAACCGTCTCAAATTTTAAGTCAGTGTGCCTCGGCTCAAACGCCACGTCATCTTCTTACAAGAACACGCTCGTCCACAAGGTTTTTCCCGGCCAGTACCTCCTCGCTGGCCGCCAGGGTCGCCCAGACAAGGGTGAGGTCCGCCCGCCGCGCGACCTGCCGCGCAACACCGAGACCGTCGACGCCAAGGCCTTCGCGCTCACCCATTCCCGACCCGGCGTCGTTTCACTCTCGCTCTCCGAAAACGACGACGACGACGATGTTAAGCTCGATCCTGAGTACCGGAATGTTGAGTTCTTGATCACCACTGGACCCGGACCTTGCCCCCAGCTGGATAGCAAGAACATTGTCTTCGGAACAGTTCTCGAAGGTAAAGCTAATGATAATGTTAGTTTGTTTAATCAAGATACTGAAGTTTGGCAATAGGATAATTTCTTGAAGCTTTGTATCTGCTTTAGAGAGGATCTTCAATTTAATTCTCTAAAGTGCCTGACTTTAAAAATTTATAACAATTAGTACAGGCATTGATTCGAGCTCAATTCCAAAACTGAAATCTAAAGATGTAATAATGGCGAGAGAACTAAAATTTAGAAAATGATGACTTATAATTCCAATATAGGAAACTTGTATATGACTTCTGTTAGTGTTTTACTTATTTTTTAAAAGACATCTATCACATTTTACTATTAATTATGAATGTTATTAATTTTGAGTAATTTATATTATTTCTGAGAATTTGTGTATGTAAATATTTGTTTGAAAATCATTGGAAGCATCTATTATGACAAAGCCTATTATATTTGCAATTCTTTATGGTTGAGTGAAAAGTGATGGTAGTATGAAGAACACAGAGAAACTCCACGACCACGGCATTACTCTAATGGTATGTTGGGACTGTTAGTAAAGGCCTGTTCAGAGAATTATTGTTTAGGACTACACCGAAGATTTTATCGAGTCGTATCTACTCATCTTGTTCCTATATATCAAGAGATTTTCCTGAGGAGAGTAACCTATCTATTATGCTACACAAAGCGTTTGATTGGGTACAGAGTATATGCTTAGTAACTAACAAAAAAAGATTAATGTCTTGTACCTTCAAGTGCTAATAACACTTGACCATATTGTGTTTTAAACTATTGTTCTGATGACAGAAATCAGTTGGGGAAATGTTGAAATATTTTACCTGTTTGGGTACTACATTATACGAATTTTGATTTATCTGTCACCAATGAAGTGCTGAGCATTTAAATGAATCTATTGCAGGATTGGATGTCATCACAGCGATAGCTTCCATTCCTACCTACCAACCATCTGAGAGAATTCGCCAGTTTAATGACTTGGCTGAATTTTTCGGAGATGGAAGGGCTCAGAATGCACGCAACATATGGAACAGGCCTCTTACGACTGTTTATATCAGTGACTGTGGAGAACTCAAAGTAACAAAGCCTTCTCTCACGCCTTCTTTACCATAATTTATTTCTATGAATGTATATTTATTGTTTATTCCAGCGGATTTCATGTAACTGGTGTATGTAAAATCGTACTCACATTCTTTAAATAATGATGAAGAAAACCTCAAGTGAACAACATGAATGTCTTCAAAGTTGAAACCTGAAAGGTTTTAGTTAAGGTCATTCATTTCAAAGCTTCGGTGAACATGATACATACGGGCAATGAAGTTAAACGCTGATTGTTTCTTGAGTTAGTAATTCATCATTCTTACTGTCCAAATGTTTGTTTCTATCTGCTCCATGTAATTTCAAAGATTATAGATTATTCACTGTGAGTTCTTTTGAGAGATGGGACTACATAATCTCCAACTCATTTTGTATGAGTTCAATTTTGCTGTCCTTGAGCGATTGGGATATACATACTGCAGTAAAGTTAGTAAAACGACAATCTTATCTTTAAGTATTTTTATATATGCTTCAAATGATTTCAAAGATTTTAGAATTTTGAAGATGGTTCTCTCAATATAATCTCCTATGATTTTGTACTACAACTTCTGAGTGCTTTTACAAACCTGGGGGAGGGAGGAAAAGCACGGCGTTGGAGCAACAAAAACAGAAAAATAGTTTTCTCCATCGAAAAACGTCAGTTATTTGAGGATTTGTCCTTTGGCATAACATGTCTTATGACTTGTACCACTTGGAGTCTTTCCCGCCTTGAAAGCTAACATAACATTCAACTGTTTATATAAGAAACGTTATTCATCCCTACACGTTGCAAATAATTTTTTATTCAAATATTGGTCATCCCTACACTGGTGAAATTAGATAATTTTCTTTGGCTATGTGTATTATTTCCATTTCCACAATAACATGCCCAAGAGAGATAGAATAATACAGACCAATTAGCTTTGGAAGTGACAAGCAGGAATCCATGGATAAGTCATTGGGTAGCATGAAAATTAATGGGCATTTACCAACTTGCAACTTAAGGAACAAGAGATTTCCACGGTACCAATTAGCCAAGGCCGGTCTCAAATTCTTAATTAACAGTAATTCTTTAATCAGCTCTAACTAACACCCAGCATTTGTAAAGTTGCATTATCCCACGAGCATTTGTAAGGTTGCAGCAATTTCAACTCAGGATCTTCAGTTCTCTAAATATCAACGTACTTCCTGTATGAGAAAAAGCTTTTGAAGGAAAAACCAGGAAGTAGAGAAGGTGATTCTTCATTCTTTGAATTTGAATCCTTTTGAACAGCTTGGGTTAAGAACACTGCCAAGGGAGAAGCACTAGAAGAATCACGGATAGTCACACAGAAGCTTCATCAATTGGAAATGGTACATCCCAGTAATTATTACCGGCTGTATTGATAAGGCCTGAAATATAAATCCATCTGCCCAAATAGATAGGAAATTTGGTTTAATTATATTTAGGTACATATTTGATTTAAGGCTTAATAGCACTCACGGTCCCAATTTTTGTAAGTTTTGTTCAAAATGGCCTCATTTTTTAAAAATGTTCAATGTAGTCTTAAAGGTCGTAATTTGTGTTCAATTTAATCCCTTTTGCAGACGCAGTTTAAATCGTTAACGGCTAAATGTCTAGTTGTGCAATCAGTGACACATCACCCTTGACACGTCATCATCATCTCCTACCTCCAGAAACCCTAATTTCCCCTACACAGAAACCCTAGCCACCACCTAACCCTAATCGTCGCCGCCACCCTCACGGCCAGCCACCATCTTCGCACCTCCATCATCAGATATTTCGAAACCCTAACCAGATGGTCGCGCCACTGTTCCAAACGCTTCGCCACAAGCATCGCGAAACCGAATCGCGAGTTCCTCGCGCCTTTGAGCAACGTCGTGAAGCTTCTTCATTCTCCACCAGCCACCACCAACCTGAAACACAGAAGATCAAAACCCATAGAACCAAAAATCTACTTCAAACCAGAAGCGCGATTCGGGCCGCAACGGTGAAGAGCCACCAACATCATCATCAACCTCTCGCGAGCAAAACCCAAATCGTAGAAACGCAAACCCAAATCGCACCAGCGCCTCTCTGCAAGGTTCTACACCGCGCCTTCTTCATTCACCTGCAGAATAAAAACCTAGAAGCAAACCAACTATCACGAAGTTCACCATATCCGCCGTGAAAGAAAAACCCTATTCCCGCGTGACGGCAGCGAAGCAAGCTTTTCCCCAATCTGCAGATGCAAATCTGAAACCCTAATTTTTGGGTGAAGAAAAAAGGTTGCCACATGTCAAGCCCTCATTGGCGCGACCATCCTTAGTCAATTCTGGTCCTAGCCACGTCAGCCAATAACTGCCATGTAATTCATTTATTGGTAAAGTGTCGTTAACGATTTAAACGACGTTTGCAAAAAAGACTACATTGAACACAAATTACGACCTTTAAGACTACATTGAACATTTTGAAAAAATGAGGTCATTTTAAATAAAGCTGACAAAAATTGGGACCATCAGTGTTATTAAGCCTTGATTTAATGATATTTTAATTGGATTCGTATTATTGGTTTAGTTGATTAAATCAATTGTTAAAACTTGGATATGAATCTTTGAAGAACTATATAAAAGGAATTATTTGATTCTTAAATCTACAATTTGACTTTCCAGCTCTTCAAATTACACACAATGTTCAAATATGTTTCGTTTTTCAAATTGTTTTACAGTCTGAACTTCTGTTTTATATTTTTCAACCCCTAAACCCCTTAATTCAATTTGTAAGAGAAGAATATTATAGACGGAATACAATCAATGTCCTCTGAGAATTGACATAGGTTATGCTCTATATTGCAAATTTTAGAAAAAAAACTTCAGTTATTTGGTTTCAAAACAACATTCAAAATCAAATATCATGTCTAGAAATTCAAAGAACAATAAAACAAATCAAACCATCACCAAATTCAAGTTCTATACTTAAAATAACAACAAAATCTAAGGTAGATTTTCTAAATTTTTTTTGTGGTTGTTAGGGTTTGGATCAGGTTGTATGGCCCAACCCTTTGTTTTAAAGAGAAACACTATTGGGCTGACCCAATATGCATTATCCCAAAAAAGAAACAAAAGAGAAAAAAAAGAACTAAGGTTTTCAGTACCTCGGATGGGGTTGGGTTGCACTGACATGGGACTTCTTCATCCTTACGCAGAGGAGTGCCATCCGGTTTACAAATTCTGTCATGGCCACTCCGACAACCAATGCGGCTGTTATGAGCAGCCATGCAAAACCCGATTTGGTACTGTCATGTTGTGGTGGCCATCAAAAAGTCTGACATCAAAATCCCCCGTGATCATTTTTCGATAACACGGCTAAAAGTCACCACCAGGCAATGAAAAAGTTGTATAAAAGTCAAGATGAAACTCTAAAATGTAAAGTATTATTCAGTGTAAAGTATTATTCAGTGTTACCTGAAACTCTAAACAAAAGCCCAGGGCATACAAGGATTTCCGATGCAGGTGTCTCTCAAAGGATTTTAACTGAGCACAGTTTGCTTGAAGGAACATATTTTTGAAAATTGAACTGACCCAGTGAAAGAACCGACCTGCAAAATTCAGATTTGAATATCAGCCATTATAACTTCCATGATAATTGACAGACTCTGCTGATAGTTAACATTGCTAATTATTTTACTGCAAACAGCCTCTTTGTTGAGTAAAAAATGCAATTTTCAAGATCATATATCATGCTAATCATGCTACAATATTTAGTTAAGAAGGAAACTAAAGAAGCTGAGCAAAACTAAAAGCCTTGTGAATGTATTCTCTTAACACTCTCAAAAACCTTATACCGAGAAGAGGAATTTTGTTCATATAAAGTACAAACTGAAGCAGAATAACCAAAAAAAGAGTTCAGAAGGGATGAAGTATACTAAAAGATAAGAATCAAATTTTCAAGAAACCAAAAGAATGATACTGGAGGAATGAAATACAAACCGTATAGGAATATCGCATCTGTATGAGTAACAGAACTGTTGGTCAGCCTCATCAGTCAATACATATTCTGGAAAAGAAAAAGCACAGTGCGATCAACCAAACTTTCTTCTCATTTTGTTTCTCAAATGAATTAACTTTTTCCTAGCAATAATCAATAATTCATTCAATCTTTTGGTTCCTCCACATGAATTAAAAGAAACCAGTTCCCTAGCTTGTATGTCCCTCAAAAGTTTTTCACTTTCAGTATGATAATTTCCAGCACAGAGAGAATCAATAAGAACAATGTATATAGACGTATTAGGCCAAAGATTTCTATGTTTCATCTCTTCATAAAGTTTAAAAGCTGCTTCAATATCTCCACTAGCACAAAGGCCAGATATAAGAACATTATACGCAACAACATCAAGCTTCAAATGACAATGTTCCATTGTGCTCCTCAATTCTAAAGCTTTTGCAACATTCGTTTCTCTGCAACAGACGTGCATTAATGTAGTGAAAGTAGCAACAGTTGGAATGATTTGCCTCTCAAGCATCAAATCAAGAACCCAAATAGCATTTTCTATATTCTTTGAATTTGCAAGCCCTCTAACAGTAGCACTCATTGCAACATTGTGGGAGCTGACACCATGTGTTTTCATTTCATCTTGAAGTTTCAATGCTCCTTTTATGTTCCCAACTCTACACATACCATTGATTAAAGTAATATATTGTTTAATTGTAGGAACAGAACCACTTTCCAACAAGGCTTGCAAAACACAATGGGCTTTATCAAAATCACTAGTTCTAACGAGTCCATTAAAAAGGGCATTGTATGTATCTACATTGGGAATTATTGTAAACTGATTCATTTGATATAACAGATCGTAGGCCATTTTCGTCTTATTCCTTTCACAGAACTTGGAAATAAGCATGTTAAATGTAGAGCAATCCGTTATGAAACCTTTCAGTGTTATCCATCTTAAAATTTTAATAGCAACATCAAATGATTTGGAATTACAAAACCCAAGAATAAGAGAGTTCCATGAATACTTATCTGGTAGAAAACCGTTTCTGATCATGTCTTTGTATAACATAGAACAACTTGCCATTGCATTCCTCTTTGCATATCCATGTAGTAGGATGTTGTAAGTAGCCAAATTGAAGCATACATTTTTACTCTTCATTGTTGAAAGAATATCATTGACTTCCGACATTTTCCCTTTCCTTAAGTAATAATCTATTATCACATTGAATGCTATAGTATCAGGCTCCACACCTTTGCTTAGCATTTCTTCAAAAATATAGAAAGCTGCCCTTGAATGTCCATGCTTAAGAAGTCCATAGACTAAGCTGGTGTACGCAGCAGGATTTGGAGATAATAATCGCTTTTCAATTGCCTTTCCTGACAAAAGGAGTGCGGCAACTATTTTACCCTTCTTGCACAGCCCCGTAATAATATTAGTGTATGTAAAATTGTCAGGCAGAAAATCATTTGTAACCATCTCATTAATAAGGGCAACTGCATCAGATAAATTTCCTGATCTACATGTAGAAGTAAGCATTGTGTTGAATATTACATTATCAACGGCATTAGGAACAGAACAAAGTCTATGGAAAAGCTTCCATGCTTGATTAATATGTCCACTTCTGCAAAGTGCTTTCAATAGACCCCCATACGTGAATTGACTTGGCAAATGGCCTAAACAATTCATTTTATCAAATACAGAAAAAGCTTTTAACACATCACCAGAATTTCCGTAACTATTTATAACACAATCAAAAGTAATGGAATTAGGATCAAGACCAGTTCTGTTCATGTGTTCCATAAAATACTCAGCCTCTTCAAGTCTTCCACATCTACAGAAAGCGGCAACCAACACATTACATGTAAAGTGATCAGCAGCATAACCACTACGATTCATAATTGCATAAGCATTTAATGCCTCTTTTAAATATCCCATTTTGCAATAATTGTAGATTAATGTTGAACACAAAATACTATTTGGCACAAGTCCAGTCCTATACATCTTACACGTAATCTCCTTTGCATTATTTATCTTCCCCACCCTGAAAAATCCATTTATGAGAACCGTAAATGTAACAACATCGGGACTAACAGAAATTTTTATCATATTATCCAACAACTGCACAGCTTCTTCAAGCCTGCCATTCTTACACAATCCATACATCATTGCAGAGTAACTAATGTGACCAACTCCCACCCCATCCATCCTCATTCTCTCAAGAATACTAGAAACCAGTCCAAATTCAGCATGCTTGGATAGCCCATTCAAAAGAGCCCCATATGTAACTTCATTAGGTTTTAAACCACATGATACCATAACATCCATCAATCTCAATGCCTCCCTATTGTTGCCCATCCTACAGTGCCCAGCAATCAAAATATTGTAAGTGATAATGTTAGGCGACAAATTAAATGATGACATTTCATCAAAAACTTTTGCAGCAACTTCAATTTTCCCCTCCTTCACAAATCCATTAATAAGAGTATTATAAGTTATCTCATTTGGATACACCATTTTCCTTCTCATCCTTTTCAACAATAAATAACCTTTTGCACTCCTGCCTTCCTTGCACAAATTCCCTACCAAAACATTATATGTACAAACATCTGCCCCAATACCCTTAGATGCCATGGAGTCAATCAACTCAGATGCTGCTTTGTACCTTCCTTTCTTGCAATACCAATTAAGCAAGGTATTGTAAGTGACGGCAGTCGGATAAACACCACTTTCTTCCATTTTCTTCAAGAGAAAGCCAGCACTTTTAAACTTCCCCCGTTCGCACAACGCATTCAGCAATATGTTAAATGTAGCAACATTAGGACAAATCCCTTTGGTAAGCATCTCTTTGAAAAAGGACCAAAACATATCAACTTTCTCCTCCTTCACAAGGGAACCCAACACCATGTTACAAGTATATACAGACGGCTTCAGTCCCCGAAATCCCATAAAGTAGAAAGTCTGCACAGCCTCTCCAACCATCTTGTCCCTCAAACAAACCCTAATCAGGAGGTCAAAAACAGCTGGGTTTGAGTTGCAAATGGGGTACGTATCCATCAAAGCATAAAAGACAGAGTTCAAACCAATAGGCAGTTGTAACATTTGCTTTAAGGTTGTTTTGGCAAAGTTGTACATTCTAGCTCTAACAAGTATGTGGGTAGTACAGCAGATGATATGAGTAACATGTTTTAGCTCTAAATTGGGTTGCTTTATGACCCAATTGAGAAATTTCAGAGCCAACCTTCCATGAACAGGCCTCAGGGAAGCCAATCTATATTTCATACAGTTCAGTGACTCCCAACGGTGCACAGTGAGAAATGTGTATATACTCTTCTCCATATCCAGAACCATCCAATGATTCGAAAGGTACAAACTTTACACTGAAAATCAGAAACAAAGAGGGAAAGAAAATGTGGGTTTAGAGAGGGAGAGAGTAACGAGTAAAAGCAAGAAGGTAAAAGGAAGGGGTTTACCTTGAATGACACTGAAACGAAAGATTGAAGGATGACTATCTTCTTCCATATTCAAGGATTAGAAGTGGTGAGCCGATGACCCGTTTAAGACCCGACCCGAATCGAGTTTTCACACTCTTGGTACGCGAAATAAATGAAAATTTTATCTAGGTTCGCGCAAAAGTCCGCATATAAATGGACCCTCTGCGACCAAATAATGAATAATATAAAATAATATTTTTACGGCAAAATCTGCCATAACTGGACCGGTCACGGTGGTGAGAGTTTTACTGACTTTTTTTAAAAAAATTATCGATAAGCATCTTAATTTTTTATTTTCTTCTAAATCATTATTTACTTATATTATAAAATTAAAATTAAAAATAAAAACTTATTTATTATTGTTTCGGTAGGTGAGATCGAAAATTATACATTAACATTTTAAACTTCTTCACTTAGTTCAATTTATTTCTCCTTTCTAATATTTTGTTCGTTTTTTCTAGTGCAGTTCAATTCTAAGCAAGTGGATACATGTTAAAGTATTTTGATGCTTAAGTTATTATTGTTTTGATAAGTTAGGTCGAAAACTATACCTTCAAACTTTAAACATTTTCATTTAGTTCAATTTATCTCTCCTCCTCTAATATTTTGTTTGTTTTCTATAATGCAGTTCAATTTTTAGCAAGTGGATACCTGTTAAAGGTATTCTGACGCTGAAGTTAGTTTATAGTTACCAATAAATGATCACAAATAGGTCTTAAATTTCCAAAAAATGCAATCACCTACCTCTTTACCTTATATATATATTTAGGGAGTTGCTCCCTCCACCTCCACACATCTCTTCCTCCACCTCCCCAATTTTCTAAAATGCCAATTATATCCTTCTAAAATGACAATTATAGGTCTTATAGGCGAAACGGATGTATGAACTCTTCCGTAAAGCTTCTTCTCCATTTCTCCATTTCCGTAAGGGTGCCACATGCCTTTGATGGATCATCCTTTGAAAAGCTAATGTCAACCCCACCAACGCATCTCAATTCTTCTCCCTTCTTATAACCAAGTTCACCTTCGCTGGATAATTTCCATGAGAAACTGTCCTCTGTGATCAGCTTTTCCCTGAGAATGTCTTGTGTGCTGAAAAGCGTGATAGATGTTAAGGATTGAAAGAAAGGGAATAAAAAAATTTCAATTGTGGAATGTAGAATTGTAGAGACGTAACGTTATCCAAGTTTGGTGATCTCGCCAAGATTCTCGCGATTGTGATGGTTCTTCAGGTGCTTCTTCCATTGAGCAACACAAAAACCAGAGCTGTCTGAACTCTTTCTCGTACGCTGTCCTACTTGCATGTTGGGTCGATACCTATAGGCCACATATGACATCCTTAAACGGATGTCAACATCCGTTTAAGGCAAAACGGATGTCGACATCCATTTCGCCTTAAACGGATGTTGACATCCGTTGAAGGATGTCATCCGTCCAGAGGCAGCGTTGCTTTTTCGTTTCGTTTTTATTTTATGGCTCATGCAAGGATTATAGGNCATCCGTTTCGCCTTAAACGGATGTTGACATCCGTTGAAGGATGTCATCCGTCCAGAGGCAGCGTTGCTTTTTCGTTTCGTTTTTATTTTATGGCTCATGCAAGGATTATAGGCTTGGATATTAAAAGGATTATTGGAAGTATGGGAAGGCTTTAGGGCTTAGGATTATAGGAAGGATTATGACTACGTACCTGGAGAGGAACCACGACAAGGACACTACACCATAAACGCACTGCACCACCTACTGTACCGAGAACAAGAGGAAGATTGCTTGATAATTCTTTTCACGATCACCAAGCTTTGCAGAAAAATATTTTACTCATACAAGGAACTACGTAGGTTATCAATTAAATATGTTATAAATGAATAAAATTAAAAAACAATAATTTTAAAAATAAAATTTTACTGAGGGGCAAAATAGTAAAGAAAAGGTGGAGGAAGGGGCAAAAAAGTAAAGGGGAGGTGGAGGAAGAGATGTGTGGGGGTGGAGGGAGCAACTCCCATATATTTATAGGTTTCGAAATGAGCTTTTGATTAGGGTTGGCCCAACCACGACCCAATATCATCTAAGCATGTATTTTCCTTGTTAATCAAATTGTAAAATATTTGATGTGCAAGATATCGAAGAGTCATCGGTACGAGTCTGTTCGGTCTAACTTGTGTTGGAATTTTCAGAGTTGACTTTCTATGCATTTGATTGAACAAGTGAGGTATAGATTGGTCGGTCTATATAGTACACTTTGATTTCATTGAGTTAATATTGAGAACACATCCTACTTAATGGAGGTCTCAAGAAACAGCCCTATGAACATCTAATTATCTCAAAAAGCTTTGTTAAATCAAAGTTCAGTAAACTGTTTGCTTGGTTTTGGTATAGTGCTTCAATAAGAAATTATAAAAACATATTTGTATGATCATTGGATCCTATTAGTTGCAAGTGTCTTGTTTAACCTAACATATGTGTGGAAAATGACAGAAATACGATAACGGATGGTTGAATTGTATTTCAAAACTTTTTAAATCAATTATACAAACTACTATTGCAAGATATAAGTGAAAGTATTATTTTAGCTTGTAGCTACTTTTGGCTAACTTGTATGAGTATTATTTTAGAACGCAGTCACTCTTGACAACCTGTTGGTTATTCTTTCAGAACATAGTCACTTTTGGCTAACCCACAAAGTATTCCTTGAACACTCAGCTACTCGCGACTAATAATCCGAGTATTATTTTGAAACGCAGCAATTCTTGGTTAACTTGTAAGAGTATTCTTCAACCAATAGCTCCTTAAGAAAAATAACTATCTAAGATGTAATCAAAAGATCAAAAATTTCACTCACTAGAGAGTAGCTACATCTTACTTTGTTTACACGATTAAACTTTCTTTACTAGTTTTCTAATCAAACACAAACGATATTCTTCCTCACAACTACATGGTTTTAATATTAAGATCTTGTGCATCGTTTTTGTATCAACGTCTTAACCATTTGCTTCTTCAACAATATCTTTTATATAAAGGTCTTGAGAAGAAAAAAAATCATTGCACATATTTTTGTAGCCATTGTGAAACTCTTCAATATGAAAAAACTTCTTATTTCATTTGAGGTTTCAAGATGCAATAAATGCTTTTGACTTAGTAATGATTGTGTGTGACTTATTTGGCAAAACCTTTAGAGCATGGATGTTCTTTACAAACTTGTGTGTGACTTCTTTCCACCTTTGGACAAAGCACAAGTCTTGCCATAACTGGTTTGATTCCTAAGACTGACATATTATCTTTTCCAAAGAAGTTGTTTAACACGAAACACTTCTCAACATGTTCTCCAATAGATTTTGATATTAACAAGGGGATTGAAACAAAAACGTATAACTTTTACAAGTATAAAATAAAATGTTTGTTAACATTTAACATGTACTATAAGATGCATAAGGCTTGCATTTGTTAGAAAGAGTATACTTATTGTCTATTCAAGTAATAACTTATTTGATTGAGTATATTTGTTTATGTTTGTATAAGCAAAAAATTATTAGATGACATATGTGTATAATAATTACATTTCTCAACAAAGCACGTTTTAAATAATGCTTGTATTTGTCCTATCCACACAACTTACATATGATGGGCTAGATTAGATCTTTGAGTAATATGATTTAATACACATAAAATTTTGTTTTATACTTAATTATTTAAGCATTTAATTAAAATAAATATATGATCGGTTAAGATGAATCGAAAAAAAGCCATTATAACTTTAAGACTTTTAGATTTATTTAGAATTATGTTAGTTGTGAGTGATGTTTGTCTAAAATTATACTAATTGTGAGTAACCTAAAATTATGCTAGTAGTAAAATGATAGAGATGAAAAGATGAAATGAAAAAAGACATTATAAACTTTGAAAATTTTAGATTTGTCCAAAATTATGTTAGTTGTAGGTAACGTTTGTTTATGCTAATTACGATAATGTTTACCTATAATCATATTATTATATTAATTGCGAATAAAGTTTATCCAAATTATGTTAATTATGAGTGAGTATGAAAAGATATAAAATAAATTAAAATTTGAGTTTGGAATCACTCATACTAAAATAAAAAATATTAATTTTAAATTAAATGAAGTTTAATCCAACAAATTAAATTGAGTAAAAAGAGGCTGAATAATAGGAGATCCAATAAATACTCCTAATTATTAAACACTTATTCATCTAATGATAAATATTTAAAATTCATCGAATCTAACGAACATTTTGTGATATTTGACTACCAAATGGAGTAATGTGGTTGTGTTTCTTGGGAGAGTACATCATAGTCCATTAATATCCCATCCTTCCCGACCGTCCCATGTGGGTCAGGTCCCTTAACAGGTGGAGATTCTTTAACTATACATCCTTAATTTCTGGAAAGACAATTTCAATAGCTGTGACTCCGTGTCTTGCCAGCTCCCACCTTCTCACCTGTATTCTTCCAACCACTTCCCTCATCACACCACTGTTTATCCCTTAAATATATCAACTTTTTATTTTCATTAATCACAACGCAAGATCCCTTCTTCAATCACGATTACCATTAACGCATTCTTCCCACACTCAGATCGCTCAGATGTAATGAAAAAATAGGAAAAACCCAATTTATATATATAAATATATACACTAAAAGATCAATATATTAATAAAAAATAATTAGCTTCCTTACAAGAACTTGATAGTGGGATTCAGAACCTACCAAATTGATCAGGAATCCCCAGAAGCAAAATGGCATATAAATGAATACAAACCCACGACAACCTTGAACAAATGACTCCACTTTACTTAAAAGTATTACCAAGACCTTAATCGAAAAGGACTCATATTATTCAAAAATGAAAAGAGGAAACAAAAGAAAAAGAGTTATTTTTTATCAAAAAGAGGGTGGTTAATGATTACATTACATCTCAAATAAAACCTCTAATTTGTGACTATGTCCCTCTTCTTCGTGTTGAGGCCTGGGCGCGGCGGGGGAGGAAGAGGGAGAGGAATGCGCGGAGGTCGACAAGAGCAAGCTCCCTTCGCTCCAGGCCCGCCTCATGGGATATGAAACGCTGTTGCAGCGCTGCGA